TTTGTAGGGTTTGCGGTATGTTCTGGGTCGAAAAGCCTTGGCATTGCTATTTCGATGTGTTGAAGCCATCCGCGAGTGTCCGCGGGACGGGCAGGCCTTCCGCCACGAACCGTGGGGCCAGGGCAGGCCAAGCAAGCCAGGACGGCCAGGGGCCCTTCGGCACAGAACGCACCCCAACGCAAACCCTAAAAACTGCTTGGACCAGGCCACCGCGACTTCGCGCGACTCTGGGGATTATTTTACTATCTGACACATCCATGTCTGCGAAATCCAATGTATTTGTTGGAGAGTGCTGGTTTGGGTTTTGGCTGGCTTCCGTTTGGCTCGTTATGAGTAGTGTTTGGGTGGCCTTGGGGTGGGCATGTCTGCACACTACTGCGTCCAGCTGACAGATTCTACACCCTAAACCCTAAACCCTAAACCTAAATCCCTTAACCCTAAATCCCTAAATCCCTAAACCCTAAACCCTAAGCCCTTGCTGCATCCTGAAACTTCCAAAGCTCGACTCCCGAGCCAAGGTTCCTCTGCGGTGACATCGTCCGTCAGCATTTTGAGTAGGCCTTTTCCTGATAGGTTTAGGGCTTAGGTTTCAGGGCTTAGGGTTTAGGGTTCAGGGGTTTAGGGTTCAGGGTGTAGGATTTAGGGTTTAGGGCTCAGGGTTCAGTGGTTTAGGGTTTAGGGTTTACTGTTTAGGGTTCAGGGTTCAGTAGTTTAGGGTTTAGGGCTTAGGCGGTTTAGGCTTTAGGGTTCAGGGTCCAGGGGTTTAGGGTTCAGGGTGTAGGATTTAGGGTTTAGGGTTCAGGGTTCAGTGGTTTAGGATTTAGGCGTGTCAAAGACCACTAACAGTGTCTCCCTCAGGCTCTTGGCAGTCTTTAGCATTGCCGCTTGGGACGACTAGTCAGCGCGTCGCGGGTGGGAGGAGCCTAGAAGCAGCCATTGTTTTCCGGCTCCGGCAGCGCGTAATCACTCCTCAGCTCTTGCACGAGGAGTTTGTAGGCATCGACTACCTCAGGGGAGTTTCTGATAGCGAAGAGCTGACCCGCGACGGAGTCCTTTATCTTTTGCTCTTCCTGCTCCGTGAGTTGGTCTCTTTGTCCTTTGAAAAGGACAGCTACTCTGTGGAACAGCTTGGCTAAGTTGTTATAGCGGCACACCCATACTCCATTGACTTTGTAGTAATGGTGTGACAGATAGTCGATCGGGCTTTCGATAGTACCCGCTGCAAGCATTTCGGCTCCCTTGACGATAGTCCCAACGGTAGAGAAGAAAAAACTCTGTGTCCCGTGGGAATTCAGCTCGTCGTCACCAGTAGTCTTCTGAGAGCCACTGTCGCTGTCGACCATGTCCTGCAGCTGAGAATAGGAGACGAGCTCCAAGCTCTCGGCATCGTTAATTCCGTTCTCCTTGCAGATCCTGGCGCACTTGACGCCAACTGCTCTCTCGCAGGAGTTCTTGTTAGTCGTGATGGGTTGACCTGAGGTAGTCATCCCATACCGACAGCACTCCCACACTCTGGTGGTAGTGCACGCCACGCCGACGGAACACACATAACCGCTGATGAGCGAAAGCACTCTGTGTGTGTCGTTGTGGCAGCGTTGGAGCCGGATTTCCCACCCAGCCCAGTAGGATGCAGCTGACACCGAGAGGGGGTTTAGGGCTTAAGGTTTAGGGTTTGGGCGTTTAGGGTTTAGGGTCCAGGGTTTAGGGTTTTGTCTAACTGCGTCAGACCCTTCTCCCCCTAGAGTCGGTTCAACCCGAAGTGGCTGCACACTCAAAAGGAACCGAAGCACATCAGGCCATATCTGAAGCCTCACTCAAACCAATTTCAGTGGAACTCCTGACAGCAAGGGTTCACAAAACCGAAACCCTAAACCCTAAACGCCCGAATTTCGGTTTTGGGGCTTTCCGGGTTTAGGGTTTCGGGGGGCGGGGGGGTGGATGGTTCAGGGAGCCGATGGGTCTGTGAGAATCATGCCTCCGAGCTCTCAGTGTGATATAGGAACCTGACTCAGAAACCTCGGGCTTCTATTGAGGTTGTGGATACGGCTGGTGGGGTTTAGGGTTTTAGGAGTTTAGGGTTTAAGGGTTTAGGGTTTAGGATATAAATCCTGCATTACCCCTAATAAGGAACATACCATAATTCCCATAGTTTAGGGTCCTTAAGGTAATGCAGGATTTTTATCATCAACAGTACCTAACCTGGTCCTTTCAGAAGAGTTCGGATTAGGGGGACCCTTGGGGATACAGGCCCTCTCAACAAGATCCCGTCTAAGAAAGCCATAAGTAGGGCTAAGAAGGGTCCCCTTAAGGGGTCTCCCTAAACTTTCCCTAATACTACCTAGGACAGCAAGCCTGGAAAATCGTAAATCCACCCCTTCAGTGTCGAAGCACCCGCAATGTTAAACCCTTGAAGCCCTTCCGCCATAAAGCCCATCAGTGGCTCCAAGGATCCACGTAGGGTTTCGGTTTAGGGTTTGGGGTTTTGGGGCTTAGGGTTTAGGGTTTAGGGTGTAGGGTTTGGGGTTTAGGGCTTCGGGGTTTAGGGTTTAGGGTGTAGGGTTTAGGGTAAATAGAACAATGGCAATCATCGTGATAGTCGGAACAAGCATACTCGCAGAAACTACAGTAGGTACTAGCATAAGAACCCACAAGTATGAGCACAAGCAGCGTCAGTATCAACACACATAGTATAAATACACGCAAACGGAGAAGTATGAAAAACATCCCTAAACCCTAAACCCTAAACCCTAACCTCTAACTATAACTACCAAAAGATGACTCGGCTTTTTGTCCGAGAGGCCAGAGCCCATGCCCTTCCACTCGTGGGCGCAACACTGTGGCTTCCCGGGCTGCGATGTCCGCATCCTGAGATCTGTAGAAGGCAGCTCTCTAAATTAGGGTCCTGTTTTTGGTCCCCAATATAGTACGGCACCCTTATAAAAGAGGACCCCCAAAGGGACCCCAGTTTGGAGAACTACCCAGAATTGGCACAAGGGCGCCGTAAGCGGGGCTTACAAAGGATTTTCAAAATGCTCCGAGGGTGTAGAGGCCAGGGCTTTAGGATTCAATCGCCTGATGCGAATGCTTCTGGTGGTACACCCTAAGCCTTCAACTAAAGCACATAGACTAGGTTCCCCAGCAGCCCCTCAATAATAAGGGTACGCTTTTTTCTCTCTAGGTGCTGCTTGGGAACGTAGTGTGACTAGACCCCTAAACCCTCAACCCTACGCCCTAAACCCTAAACCCTACACCCTAAACCCTACACCCCAAACCCTACACCCTAAACCCTACACCCTAAATCAGGGAACATGAAGTTCCTTGATTCCAATACTCCCCCGCCTTGAGAGCCTAAGACCAGTGTTCTGAGAGTAAATTCAGGCGTGACATCCCTAAACCCTTAAACCCCAAACCCTAAACGCCCTAAACCCTAGACCCTAAGCCCTAAACCCCAAAACCCCAAAGCCCTAAACCCCAAAACCTAAACCCCAAACCCTGCACCCTTAAACCCTAAACCCCAAATCGTAAACCCCTAAACCCCTAAACCCTAAACCCTAAACCCCGAAACCCCTAAACCCTAAACCGTAAACCCTAAACCCCAAATCGTAAACCCCTAAAACCTAAACCCTAAACCTTGGTGGAGGTGGAGGCCCTAGGACCTAAGCCCAAAAAAGGCTCGTCGAAGCATCATTCCTAGCCAGACCCCCAGACTACCGGAAGGATCTAAAAAGTAGATCCCCTAATTTGGGGGCCCTATACTACTAAGGGGTACTTTAAAGAACCCCCTTATGTGATCTATTTTTTAGATCCTTCCGGTGGTCTGGGCAAGCTCCCAAATCCTGATCTCCCAACCCGCCAGTTCCCCGAATCCTAAACGCCATGGGTCCTGACCACGGTTTAGGGGTTTAGGGATTTAGGGGTACAGGGGTTTACGGTTTAGGAGTTTAAGGGTTTAAGGAAGGTTTAGGCTTTAGGGTTTAGGGTTACAGACCCCTAAGGCCCTGAGCCCTAAATCATTTCGTACTGCCCCCATTCATTAACAGTCTAGAATAGGGCTACTAGTAAGGGCGGTCTATACCTATACGTCTCTACATTATTCTGCTGTCGCTGAGTGGGGGACCTAAAAACCCTAAACCCTAAACCCTCAACCCCAAACCCTAAGACCCTAAACCCTCGAACCCTAAGACCCTACGTTCGGCGAAGCAGCTGGGCCTGCCTCTTGGAGCCAGGTGTTGGAGCTGTCTTGATTCCTCGGCTAATGTAGGGGCCTTAAATAATTAAACAATACTATTTTACTATGATGGGGGATTGCTTATTGTTATTATTGTATTTCTGTTTTTGTTTTTATAGTATAATAATGGGGCCCAAAACCCCATTCTAATTATTAAGGCCCCTATATTACAGATGAGTCTTGTCGGGGCTGTCCAGGCTTCAGACCTTGATGCGATGTGCGGCACTGGCATGTCTTCAGCATCAAACTCAGCTCCAGATCCCAAGTAAGACTGTAAAGCACGGTTGTGAAGCAAAGTTGCTGGAGAGTACGTAGTAGAAGTATTAAGCATAGGTCGTCGTCGTAGTGGTAGGTCGTCATCGTAGGAGTGGGAATCTGCTCGTTGTTCTATAACTGATGACCGCTGTTGAACAAGACATCCTACGTAAGTTTCACGAATCTTCTCTTGACGAAACATACTGGGCTCCAAATATTCCTGAAGATTCCCTTCCATCCTTCTAGCATTCAAGCAGAACACACCCAACGACCTTATTCTATGAAGGCCCCTATACTAAGTCCTTCTTTGTAGTAACCCTCATCTTGGAACCTTATAGACCATCCTTTTGAGGAACCCTTGAAGGAACCCTATTCCCATCATGAAGGCCCTAAACCCTAAACCCTTAAAGGAACCCTGTTCCCATCATGAAAGGCCCCAAGATATGACATAGCTTCTGAGGAGCCCCTTTAAAGGAACCCTATTCCCATCATTAAAGGCCCTAAACCCTAAACCTCTAAAGGAACCCTAGTCCCATCATTACAGGCCCCAAGATGGGAGTTTCCAAAAATAGGGGACCCTACTATAGTACCCTAAATAGTAGGATCTTTATTATAAGGACCCCAAAATAAGGCACCCCTAACTTTCGGAAAGTCCCCAAAAAAAGGGCGGGAGTCGAGGCATGGGCGCCTGCAGCTGCTGCTTGGAGAAGGTGCTTCGGCCGCCCTGCGTGGAGAGTTGAGGTTCGGCCTAAACCCTAAGCCCTAAACCCTAAACCCCAAAACCCCAAAACCCTAAACCCTAAACCCTAAACCCTAAACCCCAAAAACCTAAACCCTAAAACCCTAAGCCCGTTTCGGAAGATTACGGTTTCGTTCTCTTTGGCAGCTGGGTTCCAGGACCTGTTGCCTAGGGAGGTGTTGAGTATAGGGTTTACGGGCTTAGGCTTTAGGGGTTTAGGGGTTTAGGGGTTAGGGTTTAGGGGTGTAGGGTTTAGGGCTTCTTGAGGTGCCGAGACTTGGCATTTAGTGGCGACTGCGGACTCCGTTGAACCGTATAGCCGGGCTCCCTCGAGCGAGGAAAAGCAAGCCAAGTTAAAGGCAACTACACGTGGGGAGTTGAGATCCTGCATTACCTTAAGGATCCCAAACTATGGAAATTCTGGTATGTTCCTTATATAATTTGGGCTTGGAATTAAAGGAAACTACAAGTGGATTTAGGGCTTCTATAAGGCTTCTATACGGTATCTAGACCTTCTATAAGGCTCCTATAACGGTAACTACCCACCTGAAAATGTCCTAGACCAAGCCCAGGGTTACCAACGTAACCAAGGGGCTTCAGATGCACGCGACCCCCAACCACCGCCTCATGCTTTCAATAGCAACGGCAGCAGTGACAACAGCAACAGCACAGCAGCAGCAAACCAACAGCAGCACCACCACCAGCACCACCAGCTCCAGCACAGAACCATCAGAAGTCGCCGTCGAAGCAGCAGCAGCAGCAACTGAAAATCATACCAATGGTGGTAGCAACAGCAACAGAAAGACTACTTATGGAAACAACAGGCTGGTTCACGGTAACACACAAGTTTAGGAAGTGCTTGTCTCCGTGAGATGATACTGTTGATGTTATAAATCCTGCATTACCTTAAGGTCCCTAAACTGGGAAATTATGGTATGTTCCTTATTATGGGTAATGCAGGATTTATATCATCAACCGCATGACTCCTGATGGCCCATGCGAGCCGCACATGCTTAATCTCCCCACCCTAAACCCTAAACCCTAAACCCCTAAACCCTAAACCCCGTCGCCACCTCGACCAAGAGCTCGCGCTCCCTCGCCTTGGCAAGCTGCAGATCGTAGGCACGCCTGACACCGGATCAAGTAGATCTTCTCGTATACGAATGATATACTAAAATATACTACAATGTACTAAAACATACTATAATATATACTATAGTGTACTAATACATACCATAATATACTCTAGTGCACTAAAGCATACCATAATATGCTAGAATGGACTAAAACATACCATAATATACTATAAGTCGGGGTTTAGGGTTTAGGATTCTTCGTTCAATGCCGAACCTCGGGCTAGGAGTTGGGAGATCCTCAGTCGAGATCGTCTTTTCAAGTTGAGGATTTAGGGGCTTAGGGGTTGAGGGGTTGGGATTTAGGTTTAGGGTTTAGGGTTTAGGGTTTAGGGTTTAGGGTTTAGGGTTTAGGGTTTAGGGGTTGAGGTGTTGGGATTTAGGGCCCAACCCTTGTTCGCCTGTTCGGCGGCTTCGAAAATTTGTGCTCCGTCACCCCAAACCAAACCCCAAAACCCTGAACCCTAAACCCCCCAAGCCCTAAACCCTAAACCCCCTAATCCCCAAACCTCTGCGCCACTGAACTCCGCTGAAGCCCTGGTTGCATTCCGCGCCTGCGCGCGTCATCATTCAGGGTGGCATACGCCTGCAAAAATGACGTAGTCCAGACTTTTTTAGGACTCAACACGAAACCAAAAGCCAAGAAAAGGACTACGGCTAGATGGAGCCTCCCCTCGCCGCCCCATCACGAAAACCATGCAACTCTGAATCCCAAACCCACCGACATCGCACCTTTGACCATCAAATTCTAGCGCGGAACTGTGGTTCTCCCACGAGCCCAGCCGAGCCCAAGCAGTTGACATAAAACGGATTAGGGCTTAGGGTTTACAGGGTTTAGGGTTTAGGGTTTAGGGATGAGGGCTTGTAGGGTTTGAAGTGTAGGATACCCCTAAACCCCTAAACAAATGAAAAACCCTAAACCCCTAAACCCCTAAACCCATAAAACCCCTAAACCCCTAAACCCAAGTCAAGTGAACCAAACTGGAGGGCTGGGCGGGCTCTCAACGGCTAAGCTTGAAGACGCCGCAAAACCGGCATCTTGCAGTTGGACCCCCGACATCCAAGGGGGCTCCTTTAAGGGGCTTAGGGCTTCCGGTTTAGGGTTTACCGGGTTCTTGATTTAAGCTACCATACTAGGCATCAAAAGTAAATAACATGGCTTCCTTATTATGGTAACTTGAATGAAATCCCCAAACAAGAACCCAGACAACATCGCTGAAGGGGGCTCTTGCATCTTCACCCCTGTGACACCACGTCTGTAGGGTAGATGCTAAGCTCAAGAAGAGGTCCTGCTCTAACCTTCGCACCCAAAGACAGAAGATTCAGAACAACAACGAAGCCCTGGTTTAGGGTTTAGGGCTTAGGGTGTTTAGGGTTTAGGGACCTTGAGAAGACATCATCAGCTTCCTCATTGTCTTGAGTCTCATCGTCTCCATCATCAACATAGTCGCACCATCGTCATCATCATTTCTGTGAACAACCGCTGCAGCAGCAACTCTTCACGAGAGGCCGAGCCCATGCTAGAGAGTAATGAGTCATGACTGTAACAATTAATGTTGAAGATCGCTTAGATCTTACTTTTCCCTCAAGTCTTAACCCTCCAAGATCCCTAAGTTGCCCTAAACAGGGTTTCTTGAGTCTGTCTTTTGCAAAGAGGCAGATCCAAGAGCAACCTGTCCGATCCTACATTTGTGTTTCTAGAAACAGCATTTGGGATCGCTGTTTGTTCGTTTGCGAAGGTTTGTTTTGCAAGAACAACTAAATTGAACAAGTAATCGGTTGCCAAACTGTTTATTTCTCCACAGTGCGACAATTTGTATGCGGACTTTCAAAAGATCGAGAAACCTTTTTAAACCCTAAACCCTAAACCCTGCCTTGTTCAGCGCATCGAAGTCATCCTTGTCCCCACCTTTGTCGGGATGCTGCTCTAAAGCTCGCTGACGATAGGCTCGGATGATGTCCTTGCCGTTGACAGGCTCGGAAAGGTGTAGGAGTCTACGTGAAGGGTTTAGGGCTTTAGGGTTGTAGGGTTTAGGGAATATGAAATTGAAATGTTGAGTTTATGGTCGATTGAAATCAGCTCCCCTTTTAAGGTCGCCAAACTAGTACGGCACCCTTGTAAACAGGAGCCTAACAGGAACCCTGATTTAGAGAACTACACATATAGATGTGCCTGATCATGCCTTACGAATCATGCCTAATGCCGTTTGTTGTTACCTACTGTTGTGCATGTGTAGTACGTGTGAACAAAACAACAGATGAACATCAAACTGTCAGTTCGGCTATACAGTTATCGAAACACAATACTCAGACCACAAGCTTGCAAGCCCAAACCAGCTTTGCTGAACACACTCCCAAGGCGATGGGCTGGATCGCATCGTCCCACCGTCAATCCTGAAACTTCCCCTCACCCACGTCAATCATCCATGCTTCCACGCCGAAACCGACACTCTCAAAGCCTTAAATCTTGACCCCCCCCCTAAAGCCTGAACGCCCTAAACCAAACACAGTCTCTAAACCTCGAGCCCTCAACCTAAACCCTAAATCCTAAACCCTAAACCCTAAAACCCAAAACAAAAAACATTGGGTGTATCGGTCCTCTTGCGTCGCTTCTTCCTCCACACCCAAGAGTTCCTGGGCACCACTCTTGCCCGAGAGAAAGGATGAGGGTTCAGGGTTCAGCGTTTAGGGTTAAGGGTTTACGGTTTAGGGTTTGGGGTTCAGGGTTTAGGGCTTAGGGTTTAGGGTTCAGGGTTTAGGGTTTAGGGATGAGGGTGTAATATGTATGGGCCTTAACCGTTGGGTACTATTCGACTAGAAATGAATATATATAGAGAACCCTAAAGATCGCTCCAGACGCGTTCAGAGTCTGTAGGGTCTAGTTCCAGGAACCAGGAAGTTTTATGAAGTCTCGAATTATGTAGGGTTCCCTGTTTAGTTTCGAATTATGTAGGGTTCCGTGTTTAGTTGTAGGACTGTAAGGCTTGGCTCTAACTGGACACGGCACAATCTCCAGAGCTAATCGGTTTTCAATGCATTTTAATAGGTTTTAATAAGTGAGAGCAGATAAGACCGTTGCGATACGAATGGCTGGTAATCATAGGGGCGGGAGCAGGAAAGGCGCTGCAGATCACCTGAGTCACGACTTTTGGGCACTGCGACTGCTCGGGCAAGTGTGCTTAACAGAAACCCCTTCTGTCCAGATGCCTGCAGGCTCTAGTGGCAGGCTCCCGAAGCGTTCGTTTAAGTACTGAGGTTTTCGATGGCTTGTTTGTGCATGCTGCCACTGGGTCCGTCTAAAGCATCTGGTTCTAAGCATTTGCCCGGGGCCTTTTGGCCTGTGGCCCTGCAGCTGGCTGGGACTGTTCACGTTTTTTCTCGCTTGCTGCCTTTGGCAGCGGCTGAGACGGATACTTTTCACGGATATCTTTCTTTTGATCTTCTGAAAGGCTGTTGAAGAAGTTGCTCCATGTTGTTGCACAAGTGCATGCATCCTGAAAACTTCGAGTGGCACCTCTGGGCAGCGGTCGGCTGCCTTCGGGTACGAAGGAAAATGCCCGGCTCTTCTTTCCATTGAAGAGCAGCTTCGGGAGGATCCTAACCTGAATGAAAGGAGACTCCTCGTCTGGCTGTCCAATGTATGCTTTGCATCCAGGAGCAAGCTCATGCTGCGGCACATCGAAGTTGTGTGCAGGTTTGCGATCGTAGCCAGAGGAGGAAGCGGACCGTTCCTGTACACAAGCCCAGCATGAGAAGCAAACTACTACATCCTGCTATATATATATATATTGCTGCAAAACAGTATGTATTACCCCAACCCGCAACCCGAATCCTTGCGATTGCCGTCTGTATCATCTGCAATCACACCCTCCGTAGCAATTGCAGCTTCGGACGGTCCCTCATGAGCCCCACCAGCAGCTGCAGAGGCGGACTGCTCAACAGCTGCGGCAGCACTCCCACTGGAGGCCTCGCCGGGTTGGCCATCTCCCTCAGTCTCCTCGGGAGCCTCGTTTTCCTCGATGTTGTAATTCAAAGAATCGAGCACTTCCTGTGCCTCAGCTTCGGACTCGCTGTCGTCATCACCTGCTTCATCCGTGGCGCTTTTCTCCTGCATGTCGCAAATTCAAACTTATTGGGGCTTGGGCTTCATTCATTTCTTTGGTTGTTTGGTTCTGAAATTTCCTACACTGGCAAGCTTTGCTATGTTCTTGCTGTACGACTGGCAAATACTGGGATGGATAGGGCTACAGTGGTATTATTTTGACCGATCCTTCTTTTTCTGCACCTTCACCGGAACGTTTTCCAGTGTTTCCTGAATGAACTCCTGTGGGTACTTGTGAAACTCCATGATTTGTCGGACTCTGGATTGTTGAGAAGCCTTGGAAAGATTGAGGCCGATGCTTTTGCCGTACTCAATCAGGACTCCTGCCTTGACACTCGCAATCATGTTCTCGCACAGGAACTCGCCAGGAGGAGCCCATTTTTGTGCACGGAACAGTAGACCTCGACGTGGGCACACGATTGGATCTGGCATCGACAAGAGGCCCTTGCTCATCCGAAAGTCCAAAGTTTCGCGAATCTCCAGCTCCTCCCGGTCCAGCTCGTATGTGCCGGCATCGTAGTCCTGCAATTGCTTTGCGAACATGTAGCGGACGGAGTCTGGGCCTGCTTGAAGAACCACACAGACGGAGTCCGGATTGTCTTGCTCCATCTGCCACAAGCAACCAGTCGCGGGTACATTGGATGCCCAAGCATCTCGCATGACCATCTCCACATCCAGGGCACCCTGACAGTCGAGGAACTTTGCTTTGAGAGCTTGATACAGGCGGAGCCGCTGGCAGAACACGTGAGGCTTCGTCAAAGCATCGCATTTTTTGTTGTGAACCAAACCATAAATGCTGATTCCAAGATCCTTGTCCCCCTCACGTGCGGATGCCAAGATGTTGGAACGAAGACTGCGAAGACTCTCATCCATCATCCAGTCCTTGTTGTCCAAGACGATGCCGTCCAGCGGATTGCGGATTGCAGCTGACCGTACGGCAGCGGCACAAACATTTGTTGCCTTGCTCATCTCGGACTTAGAGTGGCGTCTTTGACAATCTCTCAGATCATTGAAAGTCAGTTCATTTGCCAGGCTGGTCAAGATGGCTCGATCGTCGGATGCACCGTTGCTGCTGGCAGCCATTGAGCATGCAAGATGCCTTACCTCCGAGCTGCACCGGTGGTTAGCATCGAAACCAATGGCCCTCGGAAAAGCAAAGATGCGAGACCTGGTCTTAGCCTACTTACATCGTGCACACATTCGGAAACTCGGACAAGCGACTCTGCTTCGATGAAGAGTTCCCGGAAGAGTTGCATGCGTGTAAACCCCATCTGCACGTAGATTTTGGAGCTGTTCTGCAACTTATCAAGGAATGACACGAAGGCCCACTCCTCCTTCATGTGTTCTAGAACTCCTGGCCAAGATCCGTCATCCAGGGCCAGAACAGCCCGCCACGGGTAATTGACATGATAATCAGGAACCTCGAACATGGCGGACAACCAATGGATCAAGGCTTGGAAATGGAACTCCAACGTTTCTTTGGCCGTGCGGTCCGTCTCGTATGACAGCACGTTCAGGTATTCCATCGCCTTGACTTCACAGGCCTCAAGGACTGTGTTCCTCGCAGCGTTGAAAAAAAGTACGGTTTAGGGTTTAGGGATTAGGGTTGAGAGCGTAGGCTTTAGGGTTTAGGGTTGTTTTCTTAGACTGTCCTGAGCACGAGCTGAAAAGCTCCATACTTCGATAGTCGATCGTTGTTTATAGGGTTTAGTTTAAGGCCTACCCTTCCTACTCAGGGTTTAGAGTCTCGGGCTTGCAAACTTTTTTGAACATAGAACTGTCCGGACCAACAGCTTGAGGCATCTGCCCGAAGCGAGAGACATGGCCACGTGAACGGACCCGTTGACGTCATTCTGGATTCGTTTGTTCTTAGCTGGTACAACAAGGCAAGAGTCTCTGCAGTGCTTGCTACGGCTAAGCGTAGGAATCCGAGATTACGAACTTGCTGGCACGGAACTGTCTTCCCCATCCACCTCCGGGCGGATGCATACACTGTCAGCAACGACCGCATAAGATCTTGGTTGGTCGAGTCCGACAGGACCTGAAGCAAATGCTATGAAAAACACTTCAAAAGGAAGATCCTGGCGTGCTGCTCTAGCGAACCGGCCTCAAAGTAGAGAGCACGGATAGAGTGATTATTTTGCTCATCACTCTGCCCCTCGTCCGCGTTGCAACTGGTGCCCATGGCATCCCATGGGTTGATGCCTTGCTCCCACCACTGCCACACCGTCTCCATGAGGCGACAATGCCAAGTACCTTGGAGAATTCAGAGCATAGCTCTGTGGGGCCAAAGCTTGATTAATCTCTCTGCAATCTAACACATACAAACAAGGAGAGAAACCACCAAGTTGCGGTCGGTGATCGTTGCGTGGTCGAACCAACTGAACCATCTCCCTTCGGCACAATCACTTTGATTGTAGTGCAACTTGCCTGGCATAACTGGAGAATCGAAGAAAGAAGTTGGAACAGTCTATGGCTAAATCCCACCTGCATGTTGCTTCAAAGCCTCGATGGCCTGACGATTGGACAAGGTCGCGGGGGAAACCCCCATGTCTTTGGCCAAGCCATCTAAGAAGCTTTCCAGCAGTTTGCAGGAGGGATTGGCCTGCACTGCCTCCAGCATTCGGGTGCGAGACTCAACTCTCTGCTTACCGAACTTTGCCGTGCTCCACGGTGCACGGGAGCTTCGGAAGATCTTCGTCAAACGTTTCATGAGGCTGCTAGCTTCCGGCATCGAGGAGATGGCCTGGGCCTGCTTCCTGTGCAGCTTATGGAACAAATCCGCCCACATAAGCGTCCTGCACCCCTCATTCGCAATCCACAACCAGGACAGGAAGCCAGGAGTCCCTTCGTCCGCCGAGAATATCAGCTGCATCACATCGCGTTCGCACCGTGGATAGAAGTCCGGCGTGCATTCCCCGGTGCTGTTGTCGAAGAGGAAGTAGCGGGCCTTGTCCAGAGGCTCTCCCATGATTCGCTTCTCAGCGTCCGTCATCTCGAAGCGGATCCGATTGCCGCGGGGGGCCAGAACCTGGTCCGGCACCGTCTGTGCAAAGGAGAAGTCCGGGAGCAACACAGTCAATGCATTCTTGAGTGCATGCAACTGCTGCTTTGTGCTGGCACGGTAGGTCACGAGGTGTTTGGCCGTATTGACAAGTTTACGACCTTTTTCTGGAAGACCGCCCTCAAGAGCCATTTCCAATGCTTTCATCGTAGTAGCGGAATCTCTCATCGGAGCGGTGTCTGGGAGAATTTGCACCAAAGCCCCCTGTGCATTTGTGCCCACACGGATGATGAAGGACAGCACCTTTCAGCTGTGTGCTAGCAAGTGCATGTGTTAGACTTTTCACTTCCGGCCTCCATCTTGCAAACTCTAGCTGCATCCAAGCAAAAGTTGATGGACTTGTAGGCCTTCTGCGAATGGAGGTGTGCTTTCAAGGCCTCCGAAGTTTTGGCAAAATACCTTATGAGGAACTCTCCGGAAGCCCTTTGTGCCACTTTGGAGCCCTCTGCCACAAGCCCCAGCTGCTGCAAATCCAGCTCATCTTTGGTGGATGCAAACCCTCCACTCTTGGCCCCCCAAGTAGAGAGAATCCTATCCCGAAAGACCGGGTTGCCACGACTCCGACTGTCGCGAGACAGCGGGTGAAAGGTCGTGCACCGACTGGGGTTCGGACAGGTGCTCTCCAACCGGCTTTCGGGCTTGTCCAGTTCTAGTTCCAAGTGCTGACAGAACATGAAGATCAGCCTCCGATGCAAAGCTGAGACAACTGCATGTTGTCTCAGACTCTGTCTTTGCCTGGCTGCCATCATCAAGAAAACCAGCTTGCCGACGGTTAGCACCACACGGTCGTGAGGAAAGTACCTCAACGAAACTGCAAGACACACCCGGATGGAAGCTGTTGTTTTAGAAACGACAGAATCTCAGAAGCTGCAGCTTGTATTGAGACCAGCTGCTTGCCGCTTAGTTGAACGAGACCACCCAACTGCAAGTAGTTCAAGGCTGCATGCCATGCTTCCACACGGACTTCGTTGTCCTTGACCTCTAAGTGCGTCTGGGGCAGATCCCTCAGGAGCTTCAAAGTGCCGTTGTAGTTGCACTGTTTCTCCAGGACTGCGATGATTCGGCAGGCTATTGTCACTGAAGTGGCCGGAAGGCCACGGTTCAAGAACAGCGAACCAACACACATCAGCATTCCTGGGGCAGTACAGCAATCCACAGGCACCTTCAAGCGGGGCTTGTCGCTTTGCATACCCTTGTAGCTGGCCTTTCGGACCACCTGAGTTTCAAACGGAGCAAAGTGGCATGCGAGACTTTGGAGAAAGTCTGACCTCTGAAAGTCAGCTGAGATTTTGCCGGGACACATGACCATCCGACAAACCCCACTCCTCCAACTGTTGCTTCGCATTTGTGGCCCAGTTTTTGGAATACCATGAAGCAAAGGCGGTAGGGAAACTCCACCACTCGCTGCAAGCGAAGAAGTGACGATATCCATCTTCAGCTCCTGCTTCGGAGACCTGCGCCGCCACGAAGCACGTCTACTGAAAAAAAACCTACATACTGTCAGGAAGCAGCAAATGAAGCAGAGACAACCGAACCTTCAAAACGGACCACACATCAGCATCCACTTGGAGAAATTTCCAGTCAAAGTCCGGGCTGTCCACTTCAACTGCTGCTTCGGATGGGGCAGCTAGCTGCTGCTCGGCAGGCTCACTGTACGGCAACGGCGGGATTGGCATGATGACATCTGTGGCGTCCTTCGCCAGCTGCACAGCCTCCCTGAGTTGCTTCAGGCTGACACCTGCCTGTTGTGCTTGCGTGAAGAGATCAGCAACCAGGGGATGCGTTTGTTTGGCGATCTCTTCTGCGGCTTCGTCTGAGTTTGCACGAATGACCTTTCGATCCTGTTCATCGAAGAGTTTCTTCAACTTCTCAACCACCCCATTGATGGCCTGGCACAGCAGGCTGTTCAAAGAGCACACGGCTAGGCTAGTCCAGAGAGCCAGGCCTGCTGCCACCGTGAAACCGCTTGCCCCGGCGGCTCCACCATCTTACCGAAAAAAGCATACGGCCCGGCAAGGCTTCAATTATGAGTATTTTGTGGCACGACCATGAATCAGAAATGCCTGCTGTTACTCCGTGAAGACACAGGACTCTCATCCCTGGCAAAATAAAACTGCAGCAGCCAGAACAAGGCACAACAAGCATTGCTGCAGGCAGTGCCCATGTGCTCCAAGAGTGACCCAAGCACAGCAGCGACATCCCTACTGCGTTCTTAAGGACTCCCGGGCCCATCCTTCCTGGGCAAGCAAGGGATGCAGTCCATAAGAAGCAAATTTATGGAGATGCGAACACTGCCAAGACATTGTCCCACCTATTGAACTGTTGATACCCCCGCGGGCGGCCCCCTGATGTTCTATGTGGTTCGGCTGAGAACTGTTTTGAAGGATTGTCCTTTGGCGCCCATGTGCGGAACGAGCTTCTTCCAAGAAGAGCGTTCGCGTTTCCAAGAATTACTCCGACCCCTTCGCTGTTTTTTCTCTCTTTTTTTTTGGTTCTGTTTGCTGTGCCGACAGAACGAAAGAGAAGAGCGTTGCCGGCGTAGAAGAGCGTTCGCTTAGAAGATTGTGCGGGCCAACTTTGTTAGCTGCGGAAGTCTGTTGTTATGCTTTGGCATTACAAAGCGGTTTCTTGGGCCGCACGTCGTTTCAATGCTCGGGTTTTCCTTCTGTTTTCAAAGGCTCCTGCCGCTGCGAATCCCCTGCGACGATTCCGGCGTAGAAGAGCGTCGGGCTCCAGACAGCTCTCCAAGCACACCGGTGCCCCACTGCCCGGTCTCGCCCATCCCGATCCCAGGAAACTGTGTGGAAACATTCCTGTTTAGGCAGCGAAACGATAAGTCGACACAGCACCATCATCGTGTAGGATACAGAAATATTAAACCCAGGAACCGGGAAGCCACAATTTGTTCTTCTTCAAGAGACAGAGGGGTGAGAGAGGGAGAGAGAGAGAGATCTGCCAGCTCAATCACAATCACGGCTGTCATGTTTCAGCCAGCACGAGTCCTTGTGTCTTCCAGGGTTGCACAGCTACTCCCAGCAGGAGCCGACGACATGTCGCAAAACTTCTCTGAATGCCCCTTCAGAGCGGATCACTCAGGTCAGGAACAGATATCACTGATATGACCTTCGGCAGGGGACTGGCCACGGATCAGTTGCCCTCCTCATCCTTTGCAGGGGACTCTGAGGCGTAGTCATCTTCGAAGGCCTCAGAACAGAACCACAAAGGAAATCCGAGCATTGATGGTGTGCCATGACACAAAACTGTCGAATAGCGAGGTGCCCCATGTGGCAAAGATGACTTCAAGGCTCCATCATCAGGAGAAGGAACTTGGCGACCTGAAAATTGAAAGGAGTCTTAATTTGCCTCCACCCCGAAACAAAAGCCACAAGAGGGAAACCTTGTCTTGTCTTCGGTGTGGCCGGAGTCGACAAAGCATTCTCCAGAGCACCTAGGATCACTAAAAAATCCTTTGCAAGGCCCAGTCCGAGTTTCTTTTCGAGCCTTTGCAGATGAAAAACAAAAGAAATACACTCCAAGACCCCGCGGGGGGGCCCCGGTAATGGCATTGTTAGCGGGGCGGATTCAGGGTTGCAGTCTGGGCAGTCGTGGGACCTGACTNNCGTTCTTTTTTTTGGAAAAAAGAACGGCTCAGAAAGCACCACAGGAAGCCCCACCACCCCCACACAGGTAGCATCTGCAAGGGCTGTCATGGCTTCCAGTGTGCCCGGACTATGCGACTATGACTGGGGCGGCTTAAGGCTTCAGGCCTCCGTGGACAACTGCTTCAGTCCGTTAGAAAGCTGCCGAGAAGCCTTGCAAGTCACGAGGCTTCACAGGAGACACAAATCTCTGCTCCTCCTGGAGAAGCAGGCTTTCCTGCGATTGTTATCAGGGAAGGGAAGCTAAAGTTTTGACACCAGCGAAGATAGAGCAGCTTTTGCACGACAAGCTACCTGATGCAGCTTGAGGTAGTTGCACCATGCATCGAAACTCTTGCGTGCACCGAAAGACAAGGACTTGAAGAGGGCGAGAGCAGTGGGCCCAAGCTCGGAGTGGCACCACCCAGGATCTTCCCCGAAGGCATCGGTCAAGAACGACTTAAAGGATGCCTGCAGCAACAGATCGGACATTTGAGAGATCTGCTGGAACAGGACAGAATCAGCAGATTGATGAGCACAATTCTTGGGCCTGCAATCCATCTGCCTTGATCATGGAGCTGAGCACGACTTTATCTGCATCGGCAGGGAAGTACCGATTCACGTCTGTTCCATCAGCACAAAGCCACTCAAGAATGTGATCTCCGCCGGCAGCAGACGGCTCTGTCTCCTACAGACAAGACAAAAATATGAGACATTTGCCACTCACAGGAGAGCAATAGCTCTGCCAGAAGCTTACAGACTGTTTGCAATCCAATGTCCTTGTCCTTGCGATGCGACTTTAAGGCAAAACGGTCCCTGGCAATGTCACTGTCATCCAAGCAGTGCTTGCTGAAGCGGCGGTCCAACTGGCTTGCAGCACGGGATGGCTTTCGCTGAATCTTGGAGGATCTGCTCGAGAGGGCCTCGTCCGGAAGCTCACTATTGTCGTCGTCCCTCTCCTTGTCGGAGTCGCTGCTGTCACCTCTCCTGCTCTTCTGGCGTTTGAGAGGGGATCTGCCCTCATTCACAGAGGCCATCTCCTGTTCATTCTCCTGAAACCAAGACTTCATCTTCTGGCTTCCGGATTCGAAGCGTTCCGTTCGGGTCTCCTCTGAGACTGCTCCAATCTCAGCAGCAAGAAACCTCAGGCACCAACCCTGGAATTTCTGAATTCAGTCTGCACCGAGTCGATTCAAAATGCACATTGGAGCCAAGGTGCATCTGCACACTCACCAAGTGAGCATGCTGTCGAATGATGGTGAGGTCATTCACACCAGTCACTTAGATAGGAAAAAAAGCAGGGCACCGGTCGGGCACCACAGGAGGCATCAGAGCCAATGCATCCCAGGAGCCGATGTGCATGAGATCCAACAGTCTCTGCTGCCAGACACGTTCAGCAGTGGATTCCTTCCGAAGTGCCTGGATCTTGGCCTGCATGCTGCTTTCATCGTTCTTGCCGGCCGCAGCGTGTGCAGCTTTGACCTGTGATGTCAAGCTCTTGCGAACCTGTCAGGCAGCAAGTCCATGGTCGGGTATGACAGCCATGTAGCAATGGACAACCGAGGAGTCGTGAAACACACCTCACAAACCAGTCTTTAATCAGCACCGGCACACGAGCTCATGTACACACAGCTACGGCAGCTACATGGAGACGGCACGAGTTAGAAAGCACAGCACGACACTTGGATCGGGCCGAGAGAAATAAAGAGAGAGGGAGACAAGGAAGAGAGAGAGAGAGAGAGA